GGAGGAGTCTGTCTTTATCATGAGGGACTGTCTCCGTCTTTCTTTTGGACGCCACCACCACGTACCAGGGTCAAGGCCTTACATCCATTGAGTAAGAGTCTCACGGTCATCCAGCAGTCAGAGGGATGCTGGAACAGCAGCATTCGCCAGCAGAAAGTGAAGCGATCAGTTATAAGACTAACATACTAAAGAATTAGCTGTGAAGACGAAGAGCAGGTTTGCCTGTCATTTTATGTTGCAGTCTTAAAAAATAGAACAACCATGATCTTTTTAGTGTAAAAATGTGGTGATTTATATGTGAATGAGTTCTCTTATTTTCATTAATTCTGAAGTTCTTCTGTCAGCAGACACTGTTTTGCCAGCATTACAAGGCATTTTTGATCAGGACTGTGACGGACTAACAAATGTTCCCTTTCGGAGTAGGTGGCACAACATTTTTTTCCAATAATTATTTTCCATTGACAATTTATAAAATGCATGAAAAATGCAGCTTGACTATGACACCATCATCCATTCATTTTACTCCTCTTATCCAGCTCAGGGTCATGGGGGGAGCTGGAGCTATCTCAGCTGTGTGACAGCATCATTATGTTATCTATTGTTTATTTGAATTGCAGGTGTATTATGTCAACTTTCCAACATTGTGATTGCTGACACTGGAATTATGTGTGAGCACAATACTGCTGTGGATAAACTGTCAGCTAACTGGCAATCGAGGAATAGCTGTATCCCGATAACATATTACATTACAACAATATTTCCAGCTCTGTTTTTTTCCCATAGCTTCATCGCTCCTCCCCACCCTCTTATTGACAGTTTATCAAACGGGACTGATGCTTTTGAGCTAATACAGCTGATAAAGTAATGGAAGGATCTCTGGTTAGGGCATTCTCTTTCTTTCCGGTTTATATTCTGTATCCTCAGTCAGTTTTCTGATCTGACAGAAATGTGTAACTCTATCCAGCTTCAGTCTAGGGGAAACAATTCCTACTGTCTTTTTACAGCATTGCTATAAGGCTGGCGAGTGAGGTGCTGTGTCAGTTATTAAATTGTGGTGCTGTGAAGCTGGGTCTCTGTAAAAGGGTCCAGGTTTGCCTACCTCCTTGCTCCCCTGGTCCTGACCTGTGTAAGACACCCCCTCCTCCGGATTCATCACCAGTGCCCGGGGCCTGGCTAGCCCAGCCCCAGACTGGCCCAGCCAGCGCTCCCCGACAGGGGCTAACGTTTCAGGCCTCGAGTCAAGCTCCTTCTGGAGGTGATTAGCCTCAAACCCATGACAGATTCTTTCCAAGATATCTGACGCTGCGTGTTTATTTTATCCGGGTTCTTTGTGTGGATGTGCTGGACATGAGTAACCCACTTGAAATGGGTATCAGTTTACATACCCAGACACGGAGACAGAGAGGGAGAGAATAGTGCAGAGCCACAACAAATTTTCTTCTAAAAGTTTAAAAGAGAATATAGATATACCTTTTCCTTATTATTTGCATCTTTTGCATGTGTCTGGGGTGCTGCAGATGTTGACAGTGTGGTGTGCCTCTAAGGAATTCTCCTCATTTCTACTCTTAATTACCACTCAACCCCTCCAGATGCATACACAGATACACACACACACACATACATATCCATACATATACACACAGAGTTCTAATCATCCTCTTCCATCCAAACTGAGATCCAACCCCACCAAACATCCGTCCTCGTGTCACAGGGACACAATGGTATATATTTTTGTTTCAGCCTGGTTCCCCTACCTCCTGAGCATTTAACTTGATTTCACACTTGATGTCATCAACAAAGTCAAACTGAAACACAATCATTTTGTTTATCATTGATCAGTCAAAATAGCTTAGGCTGTTCCCCACCATTCATATGCATCCAATTTCAGCCCCGTAATCTCTAAGCTTCTATTTATCTCGTGCAGTGGAGCCTCTCTCCTCATACTACATGACTGAGGTGCATTGGCACACTTCAGAAACGAGCTGAGCCAATGTGCATTGGGGCATCAGTCATTCACAGAGTCAGACATCTAACTAAAACCACTGAGTTGCTAAAATGTCACACATTTCACTTAGCAAATGCCTAAAAAAACAGAATTATAAAATACTTTTCTATATTTTTTTTCCTACATTTTCCAACATTAGCCATCTGCACAAAACAGAAAACGTATGCACTTTAGCCGTCTTATTCATTTAAATTCATGTTACTTACAGAAGGTCCCTTACAAGTCTCCAGTAATCGAGAAACACATTAATCTGTCAAGTTAGAAGTCCTTTCAGGAGCAGTGCCTGAAAATGTGGGAACTAAACATTTACATTTTTAATTTCTAATTTGTTTGGATAATATGCAATTTGAACTGGTTCTCTTCAAGTATCGTCACAAACATTTTCCTGTCAGTGTTCCAGTGTTTTTACAAAGTTAACAAATGGATCTTAGAATGCTTTTAGATCAAAAGATGATTAGCGTGTAAGAATTGCTCCATCCTACTGTGGTTTTTATTTTCATGTTTTAGCAGACCAAAACCAGCCAATATGTTTGCAAGAGACAACTTCATTTTACAGACCTTATTTTGATTCAGATTAGCTTCAGTGACATGTTTGTAGAATCATTTAGAGTCAAGTCACCTAATGCATGAAACCAAGTTTTAGGGTTTAGAAAAGCTTTACATCTCTGGTGGATAGATGTTCTAATCCACAGATGTGCACTGTTATTCCATCTCACACTTTTACATTTAGATTTGTTTTGTGACACAGCATGTATATAAAAGATGAAGATTCAGGTTTTCAACTTTAAAAGTAAAGTCGATGCGGAACAGCTTTAAACAGACTCTTCTGGCTGCTCCAGAATCTATAAAAGTCTTTCTAAAAAATCTACTACTTACTTGATTCATGACCTCAGTGAAGGGTTTCCTAATGAGTGTATGGTCTCAAATGCTAGTTTGAGTCTTACTGAGTACAACTTGATGTCCATTTTTATAAAAGGAATATAATGCAACGTATTCTTCTGTGTGGGCCTTCCGCTTGATTGATAAATCCCTACAGTGTCTTTAGTTGGCTTCAAAAAACCAAGATTGCCAAGTCATCCACAAACTGGGCATCTTTTATCTATGGTTTATGCCTGAAGGACAAATCAAGAATCCTCTGACTTTAAAATATGTCTGTTATAAAGTGACTTGGTTGTTAAACTTGCTATATTTGTACACGTGCACAGTTTCACTCTTGACACAACTGTCCTTTAAGGTCACTATCATTTGTTTAGGAGGTTTTTTTTCTTGTTATTGGTACTAGTACTGACTCTTTGCAGGACTCAGTGTTTTTTGTTCCTTTAGTGAGGTTCGAGGAGAGGAGACTACTTAGTGACAACATCATCTCTCCTTCATCTCTGCTTTGCTGCAGGCCAAAACCTGAATGCTACTCCTCCTCCCCGGCGCTCTGATATTGACGAGATCCCCTAATGTGGTTAAAAGCCCCCTTAACAGGCATGACTTTTACAGGCCCCCCCTCATGATGTCCTGGAGGAGTACTCAAGGGGGATTGAGGAGGTTGAAGGAGGTCAGGAGGAAGCTCTAGTAGGGGGTTCTGAGGGGGAAATGGAGAGAAGAAATTTCTCCATGCTGCTCAAGTACATCAAACTAAATGATTTTTTTTTCGTGGTTCTTATCTTGCATCAGTGTGTACAGATTTCTGTGCATGTGTTTACCTACCCTTTGTATTCACTGTATTTACTGTACATGAGCAGGCTGGTGTTTGATATCTGGACTTCTCATGCACCATCTCTCCCTCTTTCGCTCTCAACTTTGGGAAGTGCAAGTAGCCATATCCTGCCCTTTGCTGCCCCAGGGGAGGCATCTATCACTTGACGTTTTTAGTGCGGCTTCTCAATTAACCCATGAAAACTGTAAAGCTCGTTTCTTCTTTTTACAGCTCAGCAAAAGCAAGTGAATGGCTTAAATAAATGCGTCATTAGTTCCAGCACTGGCCTGTCAAAATAAATTATCAGTTTACACCTATCTAAGGCAGCATTACTGTCAGTACAACGTAAATGTTTATTCTGAATTACGACCTTATTATGGGATTTCAGCATAACCCGTAAATCACCGGCCTCTTGGATTTTTCACTTTCACAAACTTTTGAAACATTGCTTGGATTCAATTTTACAAAAAAACCCCAAACAAGTCACTGCCATTGTTGGAACAAAATGAGGCCTTTCCTGTTGCAACTTTCAGCAGTGCTACATGAATTATTACACCACCTTCTGCCCTAACATGACTTTGACCACTAATCTGTCTCGTTGAGGGAAAGCTGGCACGCTGTAATGGCAGTAAAACGTGTCAAACTTTGCCACAGAACAGGCCCTGCAGTTGTTTATTTGTTCAGCTTGAACACTTGTAAGCATCTGTTAACACAAGCCCTGTACTGTCATTTAGACTCATGCTATCTTCTCCACAGCACACGGTGATGAGGCAGTTATTTCTTTATTGCTACTGTTGTCAAAAATGTTACCTAACCAACAAACTGAAAAAAGAACAGCCTGTGACCCTTTATTTCATTTCTTCTGTTGAGTGCAGCTGGTGGGGCTGAGACGGGCCATCAGCAGGCAGAGAGGACAGAGCAAGTTAAGCAAGATCAAACTCAGCAGTGGCTCCATACCCAGGCCACTCATGGGCATTCAGACAGGTGAGCTATTTAATGTAGATCATAAGGTGATGAAGGTGGTGTTTATGCCTCTATCTGTATCGATTCACCTTAAGACCTGCGCTGTATCATTCTAAAATAAAATATTCCAGTGCACTGAGAATGACATATTAACTTCTGCTGAATCAGGGGGTTGACAGAAATAGGTCAGTGTGTAGGCCTGTGCTAACCCTGCCCTATTTAAAAAAACAAACAAACAGACATAATCCATATAATTTGTTTCTTTTTTTAAAAAAAAATTTAATATGAGTTTTTTGCTTGGAAATGGAGACTGCAATAGAGAGGTAATCACTGGATTGGTGTGAAGCATGCAGAACACTAATCATCTAAGCATTTTGTGTTTTGTCCTCAGTGATCATTTCTTACCGGACATAAACTCATCCATTCTGAACGG